TTGGACGGAAGTCCCACATTGAAACCAATTAATTAAATTAGGACTAAATTGAAACCCATTAATTAGTTTGGGACTAAATTGAGACCAAAAATAAAAATGTGACTACATTAAAACAAAAAAGATTATAAGGGACCAAAATAGGTTTTTAGCCTATATTTTTTTATTCCTATTTTTTATAAATTCATTTTCTAAATAATTCACCTTTCATAGGGATGGAGGATGAGTAGAGTCGAAACTCAAAAGAGCCATCCGCTTGTCAAGCCTCTATTATTATTATTTTAATCGTGTTATTAACATAAAATTTTTATTATTTTTTAATGACTATTGAATTCACGCCCACTTATTATATGTAAAAAAAAATATTTATCGCTTTATTTTTAATAAATATCTTTTTTCTATCATAAATAAAGTGATAAAATAAAGGATAAACACAAAATAATATAATGTAAATTGTTATATAATTTTTATTATATATTATTATATACAAAAATTTATAGACGAACAAACAAATATAGTTTTTGTTTAAATATGCGTTGATATAATTAATTTTGAATCAATATAAATTTATAAATTTGATTTTTGAGAAAATGTGAGTAAAAAATAATGTGATTTTCTTTTGGATGACAAATGATATATATTTGATTTTCGTATTAAATATTGTTTGAAAACTTGTTATTTAAATTAATTTTGAATATGTAATTATAAATCTGGATAAATAAAATTTTATAATTGATTTTGTTTGATGGAAAAATTACTAATAATTACTTTCAAATGAATATATATTTTTACATCTTAAAATCATTTCTGTTGATAGCAAAACATATTATAAATATGATTCTAGTTATTTTGAATAAAGATGCACTACATAGGATTGTCACCTAAGTCTGATGATCTCTGATATGACGATAAATAACTTGTTAATAATCTACAATGATATTGATTCTAAATATGTTTAATGTGAATACCTATAATATCACACTAAGGTGGTATCGCTCGTGTTGCAAGCATTTGTGCAAGCAGTAGTGGAAGAAATATTGAGCTAATCAACTAGAAACTATTGGAACCTTGGATTTGGTTGAGATATATTGATCTGTCAAAGGTATTAAGAGTCTATGGTTGATGGAGTTTCCAAAATCTATAGCTGTAGCAATTGAATCCAAGGAGGTTGTATGTTGAGAATTGGGGTTTTGGTATTCTTGATGAGAAACTGAAATATTGGTAATTTCCTTGAGTTTTGGTGCTTGTATGTTAACCTTTTATGGTTTAGGTAACATGTGAGTTTTATCTTTGTCTGTCCATTCATCATCTGCATCTGCTTCATCACTAGAACTCCCAGCAAGGAAAAAATCATCATCACTCAGATCCAAAAGACCGTCATCCTCACTGCCAGTCTCTGACAACAGCACAAAATCAAGTTGACAATTTATGGAACAGGAATCCAGCATAAACACAGAGGCATATTTATTTTTTTAAAAATACAAAGCAGAGCTTCAGGCACATCCATGCGGGTTGACCTAGTTTTCCTAATTTTTTTGACCCATTACGACTTCTTTATTGATAGATTTAGTTTTTGTGGTCTTCATCAAAGTTGTAGCCTTAGATGTTATCTTTCCAATGGATCTGAAATCAGGTAAAATGGAGGTCTAGAACTCCAGTTATGGATATTTTAGTGAACAAAGGTCTAGCTGTTAGCGCTGATTATATTGGTTACGGTTTTTGAAATATTTAGCTAAGTAGATGATCTTTTTAGAATTTCATACCTTCATAAGAGTTGTAGCTTCTTCTCTTTGATGCGTTGGAAATAATGAATGTGATTGATATTCTCATTCTTCTCTTTGTTTTTCTTGTGTTCTTGTGATTATGCACAATTTGATGAATCTGAGTTAGAACTCAAAAATGTATGATTCTGGGATGTGAAATGACAGTTTGTGGTTTATTGATGCTGCATGGTTTTCTCTTGGGCATTATTTGTTTATTTTGTTCTTTGAAATGCAGGAGTCTTCTTTCTTGTTTGGCCTTGGGTACATTGTTGCAGCTGTGTCTCTTTATGATGAATACAACAATGATATTCTTGACTTGAAAAAAGGATCCTGCTTCCCAAGGTTTCATTCTGCAATGCTTTCTATTGTTGACTTCTAACTCTGTTGCGGTATCAGATTAGGACTTGCTATATTTTTGGTCTATTTGAGAGTTTTTGGTTTTCTTACTAGACATAATTTTGGCCCTTGCATCCATCTAATTCTAGGTTTCATTTGGTATGCCTACATGCTTTTACCTGCAAATTTACTTGTACTTTGGTAATGTGCCCTGAGATGTTGATTTGATAGATTTCAGTTCCAGCTCTTGGGAACTGAAACTCTGTTTGGCTTGTGGGAATAGAAAATATTAATGCAGTCATGTTTGTGATTCGGCTACCAAACTAAGTACGTTGGGTTTACACATATACAATAACCTCCCTGTATCCAATATCCTCTAAACAAAACTGATCGCTTCCATCAAAATGCACATATTAACATTAGTACCAAACTAAACATCTCCAATCAAATAAATTCAAAGTGCCCGCTTGCAACAAGGAACAAAATGCCCCAATAATCAAAACGGAACCTCGATCTTCTCACACATGCCTCTAGCAACAAACAAGATTAAAGAATGAACATGTCCCTGTTATTTTAACTAACCATGTGTTTTGGTGAGTTGGGTGAAACACACCAGCACGATTCCAGAAAAGTAAGAATTCAAAGCACTAGCTCCTCTTTGTTTTCTATTTACTAGTTACTTTGTCAATGTTCACTTGATCCTAGATGAGCAAGGTTGCTTGCTATAAGAAAAACCCGGCTTAAGTAATTTTTTAATTAATACGACCACTTATTCTTAAAAGTCATGAAAATTATGCAAAGTCTTTTAAAATCTGCAAGATTTTTTTTAACTAAAAAAATCATTTAAAATCCTAATCTAATACACCCCCCTTTGTTTTGTTTTTAATTTTGACTTTCATTCAGGATTTTTTTAACTAAAAAAGTCCTTTAAAATCTTAATCTAATACACCCCCTAAGTTTAACAGAATAAAAATAAGTTAGATATTACAAAATAATGATGGAAACATGTTACTTTTAAAACACCACGTAGTTAATTAATGTGAGCTAAATTTACAGCTTAGTTGACCTTTTTTATTTAAAAAAAAAACACTTAACAATTATATTTATTATTAGGAGTGTCAAAAAAATTTATACATGTAGATATTTATAGCTAAAGTTTGTTAAGGTAAAAAATAAACATTGTAAATGAATATTCATAATAAATACAAATATTTTTATGCTTTCATGTTAATGAGGTAGATATGAGTATTATAATATCCATACTCATAGTCATAAGTATCCGTTAATATTTAATTACATAATTACATATTAAATTTATTTAAACTTATGACCATAAATTATTTTAACAATTTAATTTAATTTTTAAATTAAAAAATTTGATTAATAAAATTATATATAATATTTGAATAGTTTTAATTATGAATTTTAAACTGATATTTTAAAGAAATTATTAGAATAAATAAAAATGACCTTTAAAATATTTTTAAAAATAATTTACTTATTTTAAATAAATATTCACAAATACATATATTAAAAAAATAGGCGAGTACCACCGTTCTTCTCGTTAATATCTTTATTCATTATCTCATTTTTTTTTACGATTTAATTATATTCAATTCAACTTTTACAAGTAAAAAATAGGGATTATTATTATTTTTATAATGTTTGAATTTTTTTTGTAAAGATATGTTTGATGTTTTAATTAAAATAATAGGGGGATAAAAGACTAGTATTTATGTTAATAAAAAAGGGTTATTTTTTTGCTGCAAAACAAAGTGGAAAACCGGATACCTTACAGGCTTTCAGCTTAGTTACAGTGAACCGGATAACAGGGAATTTGAATTTTGAAAATGAAAACCACTCCATTCACCACGCGCTAGGCGCGTGCCTCACCTGCTCCCAAACTGTCCACGTGGAAGACGTAATGTGTTATGACTAATGGTGGGACCTATAAAACAGACAAATTAATTTCCCTGCTCATTAATTGGTACATTTTCTGTTGAAAAAAATCCCAAAAAAATAACGGCCACTGAAGAAAAGAATAACTAAAAAATTTGAAGATTTCAAATTTGAACATGGAAATGTATTAATTCCAAAACACGTATACTTTATTTATAATTTGTTGTACATTACTTAAAATCTTTCATGGTCTTGTCTCTTGTGGCTTTATATCAATATTATATAACCCAACCTATGATGCTATCTTTGCTACTTGAAGTTAAATATGGAAGAAAATTTCAAGCACAAATCAATGGAATGGAAGAATCACTTTCCAATATTTTGATTCAAACTTAGTTTGTTACTGAAGTTGAAATAAACATTAACCAATTACACACACATTATTGTAATGCATTCTGATGTTCAAGGAATTATTAAACAACATATTTTTGTTGTTGTTATTGTACAATTGTTAAGCAACATATGTGCATGCATTAATAATTAATTATACCGTGAGACTTGAATAAAATTTAGTTATAAGTATTTGTGGATAAATGATTTTTTTTCAGTATACCATCAGCTGGATAATGAAAAATTAAAGCTGTAAAAACAATTTAGAGTCATAAAAATGAATTTCCTAAAAAGAAAACGCACACAAACACCATAAGACCAGAACCCCACAAAAAGAAAAAAATAAATAAAAAGGAAACCTTTACCTCTTTTTCTTCAATGCTTTGATGATCTATTTTCCATTTTTCCTTTATTATTTTCCACTTCCAAGATTCATTATCCCATTTTGGCTGTGTATCTTAGATTACCTGCATCTTACTCATTGCATAAAAGTAAAGGTAACATTGAGAAAGAAAAATACAATTATGTCCATAATCTCAATCATATAAAAATTATCTTATGCATGATTAAAGTGTTAGTTGATAATAACTTACGTTATGATAGACTAAAGTGTTTTATAATGACACATGGTAGTACATGAGAAATCACGAGTTTTGGGTTTTCTCGAGTGTCCCAACATTCCCATCAGAAGTTCCATTCCACGAACACCCTTTTTACTGCCTTTGATATATGACTTGACCTGTTCCACTACTTCACTTGTCTTGTCTGTTGCCTTTTCCACTTTCTTCTCCAAAACTCTTCGCTTTTCACAGAAACATAGAACGTTAAAGAGCTTTTGAGTTAAGTGAGAAGTGAGAAAAGCCAATATATTGACTTGAATCCTAAGCCATATTTTTCAATCAGAACTGAAAATGGGGTTTTCAGCACTGTTACTGTTGTTTCCTCTTGTGTTTTTGCTTTCAAACCCAACATGGGTGTGTGGGAATGAAGAGCTAAGAGCACTGATGGATATGAAAGCCAGTTTGGATCCAGAGAGCCGTTATCTACCCTCTTGGACTATCAATGGTGATCCATGTGATGGATCTTTTGAGGGAGTGGCATGCAATGAGAAGGGTCAGGTGGCAAACGTTTCTTTGCAGGGAAAGGGCCTCTTAGGGAAGCTTTCACCAGCCATTGCTGGCCTCAACCACTTGACCGGACTCTACTTGCATTATAACTCTTTGTATGGAGAGATACCAAGAGAAATCGCAAACTTGACTTACCTTGTTGATTTGTATTTGAATGTAAACAATCTGACTGGGGAAATCCCTCGTGAGATCGCCAGCATGGAGAACTTGCAAGGTATGTGAATGTGGTCTTGTTGGACAATATTCAAACTTTTATTGTTTTTCACATTTTGCCGTATTAAAAGTTGGCTTCTGTTTTATCTTCTGAGCTTGGTTTTGTTCATTGGTTGTACCATTTCTATTGCTTTATTCCCTCAAATGGTGAGAACTGAGAAGTGATCTCTCTTACACTTGTTCCAAAGTTATTTTTCTTCTTCTTCTTCTTCCTTTTTATTATTATTTTTTTTTAATACTGAACGTTGGCATTTGAAATTTGAATCCTGTATTTTACTACTAAGTTTAGATAGAAATATCAGTAATACTTCTGTTGATTGTTGATTCTCTTTATGTAGTATTTGCTCAAAAACAAGTTGCTACTTGCCACCAAGTATTCGACTTTTTACTATTGATGTCTTTAGCTTTGAATAGAAACAGTGTTCTATTTGTGATTCAAACTTGGTTGTGTGCTTATTTTGCCCTTGTCACTTGATTTACAGTTTTGCAGCTATGTTATAATCAGTTGACAGGAAGCATTCCTATACAGCTTGGGGCTTTGAAAAACCTGAGAGTTGTTGCTTTGCAATCAAATCATTTAACTGGTGCTATCCCTGCTAGTCTAGGTGATTTGGGTGTGCTGGTGAGGCTAGATTTGAGCTCTAATAATCTCTTTGGTTCCATTCCCACTAGCCTAGCTGACGCGCCTTCACTCAAAGTTTTGGATGTTCACAACAATACTCTGTCTGGGAATGTACCTCCTGGTAACAATGATGTTACTGCACATGTTTAATCTTGTTGTTTTTTTGACTTCTTTCCATTTCTTCACTAATATGTTTTGTATATCTGAAATGTGATTATTTGTTTTTTCTTGGTTCGATGAAGTTCTTAAGAGACTTGATGATGGGTTTCTGTATGAATACAATCTGGGCTTATGTGGAGTTGGGTTTTCATCCCTGAAAGCTTGCAATGCTTCGGATCATGTCAATTCTAGCAGACCTGAACCTTATGGAGCAGCAACAAGAGATATTCCAGAAACCGCAAATGTGAAGTTACCTTGCAATGGAACTCAGTGCCTTAATTCATCAAAATCCAATCAATCCACCACATCAATTACTGTTGGCATATTTGTGGTTATAATTGCACTGTCTGCTATTGGTATTTTAACATTCACGTTATATCGTCGGAGAAAACAAAAGGTTGGTGGTTCTTTTCATATCACTGACGGCCATCAAAGTACTGATGAAGCCATGTGTGCATATAAGAAAAATGGATCTCCTTTGGTCAGCCTTGAGTACTCTTCTGGATGGGACCCTTTGGCTGATAGTAGGACTTTCAATGGCTATAGCCAAGATATATTCCAGAGTTTGAGGTTCAACTTGGATGAAGTGGAGTCAGCTACTCAGTATTTCTCGGAGTTGAATTTGTTGGGTAAGAACTGCTATAGTGCGACATATAAGGGAGTTTTAAGAGATGGATCCGTTGTTGCTGTGAAGAGTATCAGTAAAACTAGTTGCAAGTCTGATGAAGCTGAGTTTATGAAGGGTTTGAACATGTTGACATCACTGAGGAATGATAATGTAGTGAGGTTGAGAGGATTTTGTTGTTCAAGGGGACGAGGTGAATGCTTTCTGATTTATGATTTTGTTGCTAATGGAAACCTTTCACGCTTCCTTGATGCTAAGGGAGGAGATGGAGAAGTCCTTGAATGGTCAACTAGAGTTTCTATTGTGAAAGGGATTGCTAAAGGTTACCCCTCTCTCCTACCCTTTCCTATAACTCTTATATAAAACCAACATCATGATAAGAAAAATGGCAATGACTAAGTTGGAAATGTGATAATGTAATAATAATGATAATAATGTAATTAAAAGTCATACTTTGTTCTGCTTTCTATTTGAGGTCTATAGTACTAAACCATGTTTTGTTAACCAGGTATGGCATATTTACATGCATACAAAGCAAACAAACCCGTTTTGGTTCACCAAAACATCTCTGCTGACAAAATTCTCATTGATCAGCGTTACAATCCATTGCTGGCGGATTCTGGTCTGTACAAGCTTCTTACTAATGATATTGTTTTCTCTGCACTCAAGGGTAGTGCAGCAAAGGGTTACCTGGCTCCTGAATATGCCACTACTGGCCGGTTTGCTGAGACAAGTGATGTTTATGCTTTTGGGGTGGTGCTTTTCCAGATCCTTTCAGGAAAGCATGAGATCACTAGCTCAATAAGGCTTGCTGCTGAGTCCTCCAAATTCCAAGAATTTATTGACCCAAATCTCAATGGAAGATTCTTTGAATATGAAGCAGCTAAGCTGGCAAAAATAGCTTTGCTTTGCTCCCACGAGTCTCCTTTTGAGAGGCCATCCATGGAAACCATTGTTCAAGAACTGGTGAATTGTAGTAGCTGTCTCTGATTTCAATTATTTCCATGTAACTCCATCTCATGTAGCTGATAATATGATGATAATTAGTGCTAACTAACTGCTTATGGTTGTGGCGTTTTAGGGATTTATCATTGTTGTGTGTCCTTTACCTGAGGACTAGCTTTTATGTGAATGCTTTGGACTATAGTAGGTTGTAGCTTAGCTAATGGACGTTTCTTCCTCAAATCGCCTGGAATTTTGTTGAATGTATTTTTCTGTACAAGGTGAATGAATGCCTCTGGAATGTTTACCATACAAAAGTCCAAGGTGCCAAGAATCTGTTCTTTAACTACGAATTGCATTTATTAAATTTTCTTATCCCGCATCCCATAGAATGCTGTTGCATTCGATCGACATGGATGGTCACAATTATTCTGTGGTCATCAACTTACTCGCAAACATGAAAGCCCGCCATTCATAGGCATTTACTCCTCGGTCACATGCCTTATTGAGAAGATTTTTACTTTAAAAAGTTTATTTTTTTGGTGTACAACTACTATCAATTATATCTGAGGGACCAATGCTTTTCAGTTTTCACCGGCTTCAAGTCCAGACTTTATTATACTCAATCAACTTCACAATTTCACCTACTTCAAAATACTATTAAATATGCGTTTTTTGAAATGTATAAACATTTTTAAATTATTATGGACTAGAACTAGTTAAAATATCAAAATTGAGGATAAATTGCTCATCACTTTGCTAAAGTCACCGAACTTTATTCCTCCCCACGAAAGTTTTTAACAACATATTGGGACATCGGTCAATTGTAGGGTACTTCCATTGTACATTTTTGTTATATGTACAATGGAAACTCCTAATTGAAGTTAAGCTAAAGGAGTGGGATGGTTTCTTAAGGATTTGTTTTAACAGGAAGAACAAAACCCTTGGTTCCATATTTAGGCAGAAGAGTGTGATCTCCTTGCTTGAAAGAAATTACAGGACTGTGCAGGCGCTGGAACTTGGCAAAGAAGATTCACCTGAGGAACTCGATACTAAAATGGACCTCTCTAGTTTTGGTGACGATCAAGGTATGGGGATGGATGATGAGGGGGATGATGATGAAATGGAAGTTGAGGGTGGAGAAGCAGATGAGGGGCAATCCGAATTCAAGTAGAAAGTCTTAAGAGTTCTGAAAGAGGGAGATTTTGAAGAGAAGAGGTCGTCCAAGCTCACATTGCAGGAATTCCTTTAATTGCTTTCTCTATTCAACGAAGCTGACATGCACTTCTCTTGATTTTAGGTTATCAATTTTTTGATAGTTTCTACACTATTCTTTCTAATTTGTCTTATCCTTTGTTGACAGTTTTCCAAGAGACTGGTATCGGATAATGTTTTAACCTTAACTATTTATGGATTGTATTTTGTTGAGCTCCTTCATGGATGTATACTACTATATATAATCTATAGCAGCTTTGATCAAATGCTCTTATTCTATTGCTTCATGATGGTCTGGGCTTGCAACTTTTTGTAATGTTCTCATTTTCTCTTGTTGTCTTGTTGATGCATTCTGATAGTCTGAATCATCTTGGTTAGATTATTTTGTTACATGCAAGTCAGATTTTAACATTAACTACTAAAAATTTGAAGAGAAGAGGTCGTCCAACAAATTTTTTTAACCTTTTTCAAATTGGATCTTTTTGATTTTTTTTTTATCAAAAATTTGCTTACAAAGTTGTTTAAACTTATTAATTTTCACTAACTTTAGATACTTGTCCCTGAAAAATGAAAAACTCAAGCTCCATCATGTATTATTTCCATCATCAACCCTCTTCTTGCCTCCAGAACAATAAGTTTTAGTGGAACAAAATAAATGATTTCAAGTCAAGAGCATATGAATTTCTATATACTTAAAAAAAATGGCGGATGTCTTTTTGGTGACTTGGGGCATACGAAAGTCTAAGGTAGAATTATTGACAGTTTCTTTGACATTTGTGCGCATGCGGTTTCTAACAATATTAACTAAAGATCGAAAATGTTCGCTAACTCAACGAAGTGATCAATGGAGCTGGATGCTTTGCAGTTTAAAATTAAACTGCACGGAATGTTGTTGACATTTAATGGTAGATAAATTTTTTATTATACTTCTATAGTTTATTTCAAATAAATGTAAGCTTATTGGATGAGAACTGCACCGGTATGTAGTTGTGGCATGCGGTAAGTCAATGATCATGTCTTTCTCCTCAATGGCTCATGAACTTGCCTTTCTCCTTCACAGCTCATTGGTGCCATTTTCAGACCCTACCTTTTCCTTTGCATCTCCATGGTGCTCATCGACTTGTAAATACCAATGTACTGAATATTCATTCAGAGATATATTTAGAAATTTCTTCCTATTGACATCTTTAGTTTTGATAAGAAATGGTGTTCTATTGGGGGTTGAAACCTGGCAGTGTGCTCATTTTGCCCTTGTCACTTGACTTGCAGTTTTGCAATTTTTTTAAAATCATTTGTCAGGAAGCATTCCTACACAGCTTGGGGCTTTGAAAAAACTCAGTATTGTTGCTTTGCAGTCAATCCAGTTAATTAGTGCTATCCCTGCTGGTCTGAGTGATTCGGGTATGCTGGTGAGTGTTGAGGTTAGATTTGAGCCCTAATAATCTCTTTTGTTCCATTTCCACTAGCCTTGCTGATTCTCCACTGAAAGTTTTGGATGTTCAAAATAATATTCTGTCTGGAAAGTACCTCCTGATAATGATGTTAACCTTGTTCTGGTTGTGGCCTTTTAGGGATCTGTTTTGTGTCCTTTATCGAAGGACTAGTTATTATGTGGAAGATTTGGACAGTAGTAGGTGTCAGCTTAGCTAATGGACATTTCTTCTTCAAATCACCTGGAATTTTGTTGAATGTATTTTCTGTACAGGGTGAATTTCTCTTGAATTTTCAATGTTCTCTCTATTTGTATTTACCATACAAAAATCCAAGGTACTAAGAATCTGTCCACTAACTCCAAATTACAATTATTAAAAGAAAAATTATCCCACAATCTCTAGAACTCTTGTCACAATTATTTTCCTTGGTCACCATCTTACACAAACATGAAAGGTTATTGATAGGCATTTACTCCTCACATGCCTTTTCGAGAAGATTTTTACTTGAAAAGTTTCATTTTGGTACAGCTACTATCGATTACATCTCAAGGACCCCGTCCCTTTCACCAGCTTCAAGTCCGGACATTATTATACTCATTTTTACCTAAGAAAAACAGTTAAATGCGTTTTGGAGTATATAAACATTTTAAAATTATTATCGACTAGCATGAGTTAAAATATCAAAATAAAGGATAAATTTCTTGTCATTATGCTAAGTCATGGAAGTTTATTTATTTATTTGTTTTTCAAAGTTTTCATCAAAATATTACTGACATCGGTCAGCTGTAGGCTGCTTTCATTGCAGTTTTTGTTATATGTTAGTCATGTGATTATCATGGTGAACAAAATTGCTATAATTTGAAGGAACATTCTGAGTATTTTGACAACTGAAAGACACAAAAACACAAGAATAGTTGTGAATTGTTCTTTTTAACATTTATCCATGTTTGATTTTTGTCAAACACAGTTGTAACATTTTAGAACTACGAGCGATACAGTTAGTTTACACTACGTGATATAGAATGCAATTTAAAACTTGTCAACAATATATTATTATTTGGCTCAATCTTTATCAATATTACAACTTATGTGACCATTTCTTTTAACTCCTTACACGGCCAAAAAGCAATTTCAAGTTGCATTTGATGAGTAAATAAAAAATTGCTACTAGTAATTGCATCAAGTTGTATTTATTGACAATAACAATATTTAATCAGAATTTACCAAACTGATAAAAATCTCTTTCACGAGTTTACTATCTTCACTTAATACTCGAAAGGTATACAGATAACAACAATCCCACATAATAAAATGTTCAATGAAGGATCTGTACGTAAAATTCGTGCCTTTTCTGTAGAACCATGCTTAGCGCTCTAGAGGAAAACCATTAGTTCAGCCAACTTGCAGAGTGACAAAAAAAAAAAAAAAGAAGTATAGCGTATTAGAAGTTGATATTTGTGACACAATGATAGGATATGGTAGGAGATGATTCAATCCCCTACGAAAACGGGGGTAGAGAGCCTACCCTTATTAAGAAACATGGAGGTAGGAGGAAACCTTTATTTGTGTGGGACTCAAGGATGTTCCCACATGTTATGGGTATTTGGGCTCAGTTGTCTAGTAGTTCAATAATGTTCCCCTGGTCTAGCCACTTGTCTATTGGGTCCAATAATTAATACAGAAAACCCCACCTTAGCCCAATGACATGATGATGGGTTAGTCATTACCCTGTGCCCAATTTCCCCCCAAAAAAATACAAAAATAAAAGTAAACAAGTGTGAGAAATTGCACTTGTACTACACAGTTGTATAATTTCTTTTTACAGCAGATAGTGAGAGTGCCTTGTGGAATAAAATAATTGATTCAATGGATAGAGATAAAAAAAAATTATGTTATTAAAATATCGTATGAATAATAAAACTTTTTTTTTATAAATTACAACAAAGATATATTTAATAGAGAGAAATGTAATAAATTTAATAAAACTTTTTAAATTACAGGCAAAAAAGATATATTTAATAGTGAGAAATGTTACTCAACATTCCAAAAGAACATACTGGGCGTTAATAATATTTAGGGTATGTTTAGTTTAAGGAAAGAAAAAAGGTAAAGGAAGAAAAGTGAAAAGAAAGAAAAAGAATGAAAAATGAAGTGATTTTTTTTAGAGTTTATCACCTATACACTGTCAGTGTAAAGTTTTTTTACATTGACAACCAATTATATCTTTTAATTGTGTCATGTCACTATAAACACATTTACTTTTAACAGTGACATGACACAATTAAAAGTTATAATTTGTTGCCGGTGTAAAAAAAATTACACGTATAGATGATTAACTCTTTTTTTAAGTTACAGTTTAGTTATGTATAAAATAAAAGGAAAGAAAAAATATGTATATAAAATGACACAAATATCTCAAATGAAAAAAAATAAAAAAAAATAAGAATACTTTTGCTTATATATACCATATAAACCTTCTCTAACTTTTTGTCTCAACAAGAAAAAATAATATTTAAGTGAGATCCATAAGTCCATACATATTCTTTCTTTCTTGTTCCTTGCCCTTCCAAAAGAAAGAATGACTGAATTTTTCCATATTGTATTTTCCTTCCGTCATCAATTTTTTTCTCTAAATTTTTGTTATACCCAACAAATACTTGAGTAAACAAAAAGTAAAGCATAAAATCAATATAATATTATATTTTCTTGTTTTTGTTTCCTGGTGTATGTAGATCGAAAAGCTATCATCATCAGTTTTTTTAAACAAAACTATAACACCTAAGAAAACCCTTTAATTTTGATTTATCATCAAAACCGTGAATTTGTTGATAGAGTTGACGATATTCTTACTGATTACAGGCCATAAAGCAGAAGCAGTGATAGGATTAGGATTTAGGAAGCAGCAACACTTGAACAACCTATAACTAACTTCACACGGCAAAAGAGTACAAGAAGCTATTGTTATTAGTATCTGAAGACAAGACTTCTCTGAGGCTCACATAGTCACATGGCACATGTTAATGCTGGTAGTGATTCCCAAAACATGTAGGCACGGATTAGCTGTTGTTGAGTGCTGATTAAGCTGTTTGTTAATGAAATATTACACTCTTAAGCAGCCAGCATAGTGTCAAGGGTTGTGCTGTAATTTTCAGAGACAAAACTACACAAGCCCCACGTTGGGCCCGGCCCAGGTGGTTGTAATTTAATTAGAGGAACGCAAAACAATGTGTTTAAGGTACTCTTATTGTTGTTGGTCCAGCCTGTTGTCTGTACCTTGGTGATGCTGCTACTAGGCCAATAAACTGTTTTTTGCTAATCCCTTCACGTGGATGCTCATCACTGCCTTAGGTTTGAATTTTATACTATAGTCTATAATCAAGTAAATTTATCTTAGTTATGATTTTTAAAATAAATATCATGTAATAATATATGGTTATGGAGTAAATTTTTCAAACATAGTCTGGAAAAGGATATGGTAGGAAAGAAGTTCTGATTATAATCTCATTCAGGAGATTGTTTAGTGAAAAAATGCTATTCTAAAGAGAAATTTCACAGAACAAATGAACTAAATTTTGGCTGCAAAAAAAAAAAAAAAAAAAAAGTGAGATATGAAGCAGTTATTTATTGATATATCTTAGATGATTTTTTTTGTTCATATAATGCTTGATGCTACATAGACATGTCTCAAGAGACAAGGTAAAATTAATTGGAACTAAGGACAAGTTTTCTTAATTTTATTATTAATAAATTAAGTTGTAAAATCGTATTTATGTTTTTGATAATTTTTTGAAGATCAATAATTTGATTATTCTATTGTAAAATAGTATGCACACGTTTTTGTAAGAATCAATAATCTTTTCCTCAATCTGCCTTTCCACTTTCTTTATGGGATTTATATTCAAAGTCCAAAAGAAAGAGATTTTCCAAGATTCGTATACATGCCCTCGTGACTTCAAGTGTCTTTAAGGAACCTTGGGCGAAGGTGCCATGGACATTTCCATGGATCTTAGGGGAGAGACAATTTCATTTGACGAAGAATATGTAGTTGTTGATGATTTGTTATGCCTAGCTTTTAGTCTCTCTTCATTAGAACATATATATGCTTGCATAACAAAACTTTCCAACCAATTTTATCCAATATATATTTATAATTTGGTATATACATTGTAAAGTAGGACTAACTCCTAGTTGCTTCAAAATAGAAGCAAAATTTAGCACTCATTTTTGCCAAGAACAAAATGGATATGATATGCTTAAGCTTGGATGACTTTTCCGTGAGGAAATCTGACCCTGAACACATGTTCCTCGCCAGTGCATTTATCTACCTTGACAACCCAACGGCTTTTGACCTTCCCCATATTTCTGCTGCCATATTTAGGACTTGTTTGAGTGGCTCCAAATCTAGTCACTAGAAGCCCTTCTCCTATAGGAAGAAGCTGTGTTTTTGACCCACTTGACAAACAAGACTTTGTGCAGCTAAAAGCATTGTACCCCACAACCACTGTGCCACTTTGCTTCCTACCCTCTTGGAATGCTTTGAGGATCTCTTCATGGCTCCCAAGGTTGCAGTCAACAAGCACAAAATCTGCTTCCTGATCATAGTGGTCTTGCAGAAGCTGTTGAGCTTCTCCAACCATGAATTGAACTTGATGAGAGGCCACTCCCAAGGCATGTTTGGAGGCTCTTAGGGCTTCATGGGAAGGGACAATGCAAATGACTTGGCCACCAGTTTGATGAGCAGCAGCAACCAATGCTAGTGTGGTGGAGTCTGCTGCACCAGCACATGCCACAACCATGTGTTGTGCATTGTTTCCTGCAGCTAGTGCTGATATAAACTCAGCCACATCTGGCTCTTTTCCCTTTTGACCCTGAACAAAACAAAACAAAACAACACTACTATCAGATCAAACAATACTATATATCATGTAAAATTTCTTATGATATATATAGAACATGTTTGGATACAAGTTTTGAATTTTTTTTTAAAGCTTCTTTACTAAAAAAATTTCGGTAAACAAACTTTTAAAAGCATTTTTAATTTGTATCCAGGTTCACGTAGAGATTAAAGAAGCTAGATAGGAATTTTTTGAGACATGCGTTGGAGAATAATATCAAGTTATCAACACTATACTCACCATTTTCAAAGTGCTGAGGTAGGCCTTTGTGGCATTTTCTGCAGACCAGCAAGCCATGATTCACTCTTGGTTGAGTCCTTGAACTGCTCTGAGGCTTTTTTGAATGGAAGAGGATTTTGGATGCAAATGATGAGTGGCTTGGTTGGCTTTGCTTCTTGATCTTATAAATATATAGGAGCAACCAACGGATCTCGCTGGACATACGTGGGTCATGTGTCATTCCAACTAGCTCAGACAAAGAAAAATATATGATAATATGCTCAATGACATGCTTGTACCTAAAAAAAAGCTTATTTGGTTTTGTCGGCCTTTCTATGTTGGATTATTTAGTTGAAGATTCTTAGTATTAATTAATTATTTATTAAAGTTAAGGGTATATTAATTATGTCAAGAAATTAATCATCGGTTTCTAATGTATTTATTGTCAAAGTTAAAAAACTTTCTCTGTATATAAATACTTTAATGATAAATGCACCTGCATGTAAAGCAGCTTTATAAATAAAAAAACTATTATAATTGGTTTAATGGTAGAAAGTAGGAATAGTTTGTACAAATTCTAAGTTCCAATTTTACTTTCTCAAAAAACGAAATTTAATTTGATTGTTATCATTATAATTTCTTTTAAAACAATACCGTGAATCAATAAAATCACATCAATGACTTTTTATCTATTTATTTATTTTTAATTAAGAATTAAAGATGAATTATTCATTAAAATCATTAGATTATTATAAGAAGATGAGGAGTTGGAATAAATTGAAATAACATGATTTTGTTATATATATATATATATATATATATATATTAAATTTAAAAAATATTATTTAATTTGTAATAAACTCCACCCAAATTATTCTCTTATTTCACGTTCCACTGCTGATTTTCTACTATTAGACGAATTTAACATATGGAAAATATATAATTTTCCAAGGAAAAAAAATTGAGATATAGGAAACGACGAAAAGAAAATGATGACAATCAACACATGACACATATAGTTCATGCCAAATAGAAACATATTAGGCATATATACTAATTGATTTCATCAATCTTTCTGTTGACCAAAAATGGTACTTAGGTGAGCTTCCTGGATATTGGGGAAACTCATTAGAAAAATATTTAATAATAACCTTGGCTTATAGTTAAAAAGATATATAGGACTCTTTAGAAGTTTAATCAAGTTCTAATTTATTTAGGAAATATTAATACATAAGTAGTTTATTCTTAACCGGGCATTTTCACAAATATATATATATAATCACAAAACTAATTTTCAACATGAGAGCAGATAGGGATAGATCTACTTACAACATAGTGGGGACACTTGACCCACTACCATTTTATACATATATAATTTTTTATTCAAAAAATAATATATTTTAATTAAATCATCGTATGTATAAAATATAAATTTGGAGAAATTGTTCATTTATTTGATATTTGTCAAACTTTCAAATGAGATTAGTTCTCATATGTGATAAAAAAAACATTCCTTAATAATGAATCAATTTTTTTAAAAAAAATTTAATTGTAATATATATATATATATACATATATTAATGTTCACATATAGAGTGTAATATATTAATTTTTGATAAAATAAAATTTGCAGCATGTATGTTTATCTTTTATACTTTCAATTTATTATATATGTTGATAAAAAAATCAAAATAATAAAAATTGTAAGATTGTATATATTGATTTACAAAAATCAAAATAGGAAAGATTAGAAGATTTATGTTCTATTTATAATTTTTATTATAAAATATATTTTATAGTAAATTAATATCATCTAAAAATTTATATCACATATTAAAAACATGTTTATATCATAAATAAATTAAACTTGATTTTTATAAAATTTAACATATTTATTTTTATATTTTTATTAATGTTAAATTATTATAAAGTATGTTTTTAAGATTGTACTTCTAATCAAATATTTAAAAAAATGTCTATGACAGATAAATATGTCATATTTAGAATATATATTTTTATAAAAAATTAAGTTCAAATCTATTAAATTATAATATGACATAATCTGACTTAGTTTATTTTCATTCTTAATCGTAATTGTAGATATAAAAACTTGTAAAAATAATTATAATATATATTTATACTTTTAAAAATTATATATAAATTTTTTAATACTACAAATATATGAATAAATATTGTCTCTTTATTTAAAATTTCTCGATCTGTCAACAAAGAGATTAATGATATTTAGTAAAACAACATTTTCAGTAAGAGAGAATATTTATTACGTCGTTCCAGTACTGCTACTATATAACATCTTCCTGACACAATCTGATGAATTTTAAAATTTTGATGCTACATTAGAAAAATATATTAGAAACCAATTTTTTTATTAAAAAAAGACCAATTAGGATCAAAATTATAAAATTCATCATAATTGTATCAGAAAGAATTAAGGAAACGGTACCAAAAAGACTCGAATTTGATTAACTACTATTCTTTCAATACAATAGATAAATATTTATATTACTAATATTTTTTTGACATGTGAAATGCGCGTGTTTATTATATATAATATAATTCTTTCAGCCGTAGGCTATATCATATATATATATGATAGCATGTAGATTAATCCAATGACCTTATAATATTGATGAATGTGATTTTAAATGCGTTTCGTTTTGTGATGGTGTGTTTGGCTTTCCATTAAAATGCATGAAATAGACTTGTCCTTATATTTATGAATTCAGTTGAACATGCTTTGTGCGTATGTTCTACAGTTGCGTGTGTGGTTTTTCGTCAAAAAAAAAAGCTTGAAATAGACGTTTAATCCAATGACCTTATAGTTGTGAATTAAGTTAAACGTGTTTTAAAATGTGTGTACTAATGGAAAACTAAATACACATAACACACTATATTATGTTTCACTGACAATTCTTTTTTACAAAGTTATAGTACTAATAATTTCAGTAGTATATATAGTAAATTAGTATTTTACCCTATGCAACATACAAGATAAATGCTTATATTATGTAGTCATAATTTATAATAAATAGTATTTTTAAATATCTAAATTATATCATATCTAAAATTCTTAATACATAAATAAATATTTTTAGCATATGAATTATATTTTTAATTTATTATAAATAATTTATATTGTAATACAATGTCATTTTTAATTATTGATAATCGTTTAAAATTTTATGAAATTCAATATGTAATTATAAATTTTAAAAAATTGAAAAATATGAGAGGTTGCGAAAAATTCTTAAACATGTTACCATTAAAAAAAATCAATTAAAAAAGCTCTTAATAAACAATAATCTTAAAAACAATTCCTATGAATATAGCTATATTATAATTATAATCTACGTATAAAGAGTTAATTATGTGGAGGCACGGGCATAGCGAATCAAATAGCTGTAATTTCTTCAAATTTGGTAGTAATTATTCCCAAAATAATATTAGAATCATTATTTTGATTTTATAAAAAACATCATAAAATTAATAAATAGGCATACCATATAACACTTGTAGGAGTTTCACCGTTGATTCTAATTAAGGAATGTTATGAACATTTTTTTCTAACACTTTTTTTTTAACATTTAATTATTGGTGAAATTTATTAAAAATTAAAAAATTTTGTTAATCTTATATTTCATTTAATGAGTATTTTCTAATTTAGTTGTAAGACTCATTAAAATTTATAATTTTTAACTAATAATGAATAAAATACTATCTAAAGAATGTTAGAGTCAGTAGCATTTCTATTGTACTAATGTTTATGGTGACAATTAGAAGGCACTACGAATTTGTTTACATAAAAAAAAAAACATTTTTAAAGTAATTCAATATTTAACTTGACATATTGATGGCTACATTAGCCCCCAATTGTAGCTATGATGCCTTAGAATTAGAAAGACAACAATATAAACATTACCTAACATGAAATTAAATGAATTCAATTCGTTCCTATGAGTGTCTTGGACAACCAACTAAATTCTAATTAGCTGTGGGCGAGTGTTAGGTGAGGCAGAAAAACGTAATGAAGTATCATATTCATATTTGTTGCAGACAGAACCACATTCACAGTGTCTTGCCTGCACCAATTGTCTGTACATTGCTCTTGCTCCGGAACTTGTTATCGCAATATATGGATTAATAAACATCACGCAAATGAAAAATGTATTGTATATCACCGATCTCTTCGTAACTTTTAACAGCCAAATGATTAAAAATAAACTACAAAGCCAGAGTAAATATCCACTTTAAGAGGAGTAATTGAAATTCATGTTTGTTCTCCTATAATTTGAAAATTATGAGATTGGGTTAAGTTGAATTCCTTTCTAAAATACTATCATAAGTTTGTCTTAGTTATTATCTAGCTAGTGTATGCCTATTAAGTCACTTACTATCCATTATCATCCATTATTAATCAAAAATATTGTTAAAAACCTCGTATTAACTAATAATATAATTAAAGTAGAGAATATTTTTTATCTTATAAATTAATTTTATAAAATTGAATTAAATTTATATAGTTTGTATCTTTTTTATAAAACATGTAAGACTTTTATAGAGTTTGTATCTCTTTTATAAATTAAATATCAAATTATGGAATCTATTTAAAATATAAAATCTGTGTAGAAACATGATAAACAAATCTAAACACTAAAAAGTTTGATTTCGTCTTGAGTTTCTTTTCTTCTTTTTTTATTTTTTTATTTTTTAAAACGGATTCTTCAAGCAAGTTTTGTCTCCAAATTAAGTGCTCCATTGGTCCATCTAATTTAAATTGGCCTTGTTTTCCACTTCCAAAGACAAAGCTTTTGGCCAAAATCTCTAGGGTTGTATTAAATTAAGAAAAGAAAGAGCAAGTTGCAAGAAAAATATAGGATAGGTAGACCCTAGAGACATGCCAACGCCAAACACCCTCGAGAAGATGGGATTAGCTGGCTACGGCACTTAAGAAACGTTGTTTGATTCTTTGTGTATTAGTGAAATCAAACAAAGATCTAGATCACATTCAATTGCTTCCCCTACCAAGAACATTGTTAGCAAGGGGGAAATCCCATGAATAAATTTTCTGTCTATTGGTCTCTTCATTATAAGATGCTCCCAATTTGTCTGATTCTGCTGGGGAGGGAAGATGATGCAAAAAATAATTGGTGGACCGTTTCTCAAG